TGTATGTATTTTATGAAAAAATATACTAGGGATGTGCATGGGCAAAAGATTTGGTTCGGTTCTTCAGAAATTCGGGAATTCGGTTCGGTACTTCCAAAATTCGTGACTTCAGCAATTCCCTAACCCTACTAGGGGTAGGGCTAGAGGAAGGTTAGATTCCGGTCATCATTGCCTTAATTTTCCCTACCCTCTCCTGTTTTGCCACTTTTCAGAAATCCAAAGCACTTTGGCACTTCCGCAATTCTGGGGTGCCCAAACCCCTAGTCAACCCCCTCCCCCAAAAAATTAACCCCTACTTATCCCCCTCACCCTAAAAATAATGAGGGGGACCATTTAACTAAGTACCTGGAAAAAACAAAACAAAAAAAAACTTACCATTTGATGTTTTCTTTCTTCTAAAATCTTATTTTTTCAGCCCCAAAAAAGGCCAAATAAAGAGCCATAATAACCGACGCGCAGACTGAGCTCTGCAATAAAAGCTCTGCTTATAAAGCCTTGCCCCGCCCTGCAATTAGGCTCAGAGCACTCTGATTGGTGGGTTTAAGCCATCCAATCAGAGTGCTCTGACAGGTAAATTCACAAGAAAGAGGAGTTAGGCGCTCACTAAATAAACTAAAGGTGGGCAGCAGTGAACCAAGCAGGAATTCCCAATACCTGCTCGCAGTAGTAAAACAGAAGAGACAAAAGTGGTAAACCGCGCCCAAACAGTGCAAATAATAATCTGAAGAAGCCCCAGACCAGGCGAAACGCGTTAAGTAAGAGATCTGATACTTCTTTTATTATATATTTTTTATTTTGTAACAATAAAGTTATAGTTTTTACTACTTTATTTGTTGTTCCTGATACATCTTGAATCCTGACTTATATCCTTTGGTGGGGATCATACCACCACATGCTGTCTATACCAGAGCAAGATATTTGCTCTGAAATTTGTAAGTAGGATATTTTTCCTTTATTTGCACACTTTTTAATAGATATACTACACTATTGGATTTTATTTCTATTTTTATCTTTCCATATACCACTGTGGAGGATTGGATACCGCATTATACCATCACTTGATATCCTGAGACGGGGATTATACCGTCTAGGCGCTATATGGCAGAGCTCTGAGTAGCTCTGCAAAGTGTGAGTGACTCTTTTATAAGCTTTTAAATACTCTTATTTCACTTGACATATTGCACTATTATTGTTCTGTACTTTTTTGCCTTGAAGGTTTTATACATTCCTAATTAGAGGATTCTCTGTTTGTATATATTTTAATTATTATTTGCACTGTTTGGGCGCGGTTTACCACTTTTGTCTCTTCTGTCTGACAGGTAAATGAAGAGACTGACAGGTAAGACTCTACATTTACCTGTCACAGCACTCTGATTGGTTGGTTTGAAATCCACCAGAGTGCTCTGTGTCATTTTACACAGCTTTTTACCACGCTGTGTAATTTGACTCATAACACTCTGATTGGTTACTTATCACTAGTCCGGTGGCCATCGTTTCCGGTCTGCAGCTCTACAGAGCTGCAGACCATGTAAGCTCGCGAGACAACCCGCGAGCTTACCCGCGAGGTAACCCGCGGCAACGCTCTGATTGGCAAGTTCTCTGCGAGACACATGGTCTGCAGCTCTGCTCCCTGCGGAGCTGCAGACCAGTGTCTGATGGCTGGCCGGGCAGCCAGAAGGGGCCTCCTCCAGGTGTCGGGTCCTCGGTCACTGAACGAGGACCCGACACAGTCTGCCCTCAGATGGTTTAGGTGGCCCCAGCCAGCGCAAGGCCTTAGGCGGCCACCTAATTAGAGAGCGCCTCTGGATTTGAGCATGCAAAAGAGTACAGCATAGTAATGCGGCCAGATCTATTACTGTTGTAATGGTGCCCAGAGTGCCCCTTTGAGCCTCTTAAACATTTCTGATACTGGCTCAGCTAAGTGTATCTTGATTTTACCTAACAAACTAGGATTTGATGGAGATGTATTAGATAAAGACTATTAGCTGGTTGACTCCACCAGATGGCAGTATAAGATAACTGGGCGATAAAGACATATCCACAGTGTTATTTATTGTAACATTAAAAGGAAGGTTGAACAATATTTTTTTTTTTTTTATATTTCTTTATTTGTCATATAAAATTTTATAACATTTACATATGAGGTACCTCAAGGGCAAACCTCCAACACGTTAAGACAGCCATATACAGAAATGTATGTTACAAGAACAACCGAAAATTGAACAAACAACAAAATAAATAAATAAATAGATAAATAAATAACATCTTCTGAGACTCGAAATGGGGGGAACCACACTATGTTAT